ATGACTTAAAATACTCAAATACGATACTAATAATTAAAGTGGAGCATTGAAACTTTCAATCTATCAAATACAACCATTATAAAATACAAATAGGGATGTGTTTGACTCTTTAAATGTAGAAAGTCAAACTTAATTTTTATTTTAAAATTAAATAATTTCTCGAATTTAAATTTTAAGGTTGGACACTTCGTCTGAATTTTAATATTAAAAGATCTCTCAAAGATGCTTCCGATACACACACACGCGCGCGCACACACACACATATGTGTGTGTGTGTGTCTCTCTCTGTGTGTGTGTATATATATATATATATCAGGATTTATGTATTTAAAATTAGGAAAACTTACATTTTTTGTCCCCAGCATTTTTAAAATATACAAATTTTAACGTCAAACTTTTCTTTTTATCATAATTTATTCCAAACCTTTCAATTATATGATAAAATTCGTCATTCTGTCAATTTAGACCATTATATGACATATTTGACTCTCTCTTTAAATAAAAATATACAAGAAAGTTTCAAAACAAGAAAAAAAAAGGAAAGGAAAAAATTGCAGAAGGAATCCCATAAACTTAAAAAATTATAAATAAATTAAACTTAAAATAATTAATTGACAAAAAAAAAAAGAAAAGAAAAAGAAAATAGAAGGAAAGAGCATCATCTTCTTCAACAACCCTCACTCACTAGACCGAACCGCTACCTCCCAGCGCAAAATAAATATTTTTCTTCCCCAGTTAAGCTCATCAACCATCCACCCCACTCAAAACTAACCACCACCACCACCACCATCGTAACAAAGGCAATTACATCACCTTCGCTGTTGCTGTCGACACCATCACCACCTTTAGCCATAACAGATACCACACTTCTAGTTAGTTTTTTATTTTTATTATTTTTTATTTTTTTATTTATTTTTTGATGGGGGAATCCGCAGCTGTTACCTTCGGGTGCGCACTGAGTAAATTTTCAGACTGATGCAATAGCGTGTAAACCACGTCAACCAGATAAAACGCACTAGGCAAGCTATGTGCGACAGGCTCGACCGAGAAAGTATTGATAGGGGAAATCGAACTCGTGACCAAAGGTCTCAATGCTCACCTACTCTACCAACTCGACCACCCTATGAGCGGCACACTTCCAGTTTGTTAATCGGATGGTTGATTGTAAAGGCTTAACCCAAACGAAAGGCTCTTGATGGAAAATCTTGATTGATGACTGAACCCTTTTCAATTTCTTTTGTATATGTTATTGACAACAAAATAACATTTAATTGTTATACACTGAAATTCTTTTATAGCTCTATTAATAATTTATATTCTCGATTTATATGCTGTTCAATCTCATTTCTAAATAAAAGAAAATAGCCTATGGTGAGCATATTTTCCCACTTTTATGCTATTTTGTCGATTCTCATTCTTTTGCTTCTTCTTAACACACAATAGTCAAACAAAAATATTCATTTGTGCAAACATATTCACACATAAATAATGCTACTTATACTTAAAGAGTTACAGAGTGTTTTACATATCAATGGGTGTAATGGCGGATCCAAAAATTTCAGTGACCACGGGTGGCCATAATAAAATATTAAATTTGGAAGAGATTTGAATCCTGGACGTTAAATTTGCATGTTGAATCTCTAACCAAGCTAGTTGACATGTTTGGGAATAAAATGAATTAAGAGATATATAAACTAGAACTTCTATCTGTTGTTAAAAAAAAATAATCTTCTCGACGGATCCAGCACGTGCGGTCATCGGTGCTCGTCGAGTGTTCGATTCGCCACTGGATTGGGGTGTCATAAAGAAAGCGAATAAGTTTTTTTTTATTTAATTTTTTTAGTTGAAGAGATTTTGATCTAATATATTTCATCACATTATGTATTTGTAAACTAATTTATAAGTTGTTATGTACATGTAGCACACGTGATTTCGTAAAGAAAAATCTAGACAAACAAATCAAAAACAAAATCTTCCATGACCTAAATTTTCACCTTGAACCCAATCCATGGTTGCCTTTAGATTAAAAATTTCTTCACCTCCCCACATCCGACGCCCCGCCACCACACCTAAGCCCCAACATCGTGTGGGCTTTCTAGTTGACATGTTTGGAAATAAAATGAATTATCAGATATATAACCTAAAACTTTTATCTATTGTCAATAAAAAAAACTTCTTCTCGGTGGATCTAGCACGCGCATTCGTTGGGTGCTGGATATGTCACTGGATGAGTGTGTCATAAAGAAAAGTGAGTAAGGTGTTTTTTTTTATTTAATTTTTTTAGTTAATGAGATTTTGATCTAATCATATCTCACCATATCATGTATTTGTAAACTAATTTATAAGTGGTTATGTACATGTAGCACACGCGATTTCGTAAAAAAAAATTTAGACAAAAAAAAAAAATAAAATCTTCGATGAGATATGTGGGTTTAGCTTGATGGAAAAGATAAAATGTTTAATTTTTTTATTTTTTATTTTGTTAGCACATGTTTTTTTAAATAAATTTTATTTATGATTATTTAAAAGTTATGGATTTTTTTTTTCAATTTTCCTTATTTTTTTTAATTTAAAGAGGAGAGCAAACCAAACATTTAATGGTCAGAATGGATGAAATGACGAGTTCTATTTTACTGAAAGCATGTTTGAGTCCCATTTTCTCAACAAAATGTATTTTGTAATATTATTTTATTGAAAAATATGTAATTGAAAATAAGAGAAAGAAAAATATATTTTTGAAAATAACAGAGACCAAACAAAGGCTTAACTGAAAGGTTGATGATGAATTATTAAAAACAACTGATGATGAATTAAACTAAAAATAAAGTTGAAAAATATCTTTCATACATTGTGCAAAGGTTGAGACAAAATGGGTAAATTTTGCTTAAAAATAATTATAACTTAAATGATTGTGAATCTAGATAATCCTAAATAATTCCCTCTATATATGCGACGTTTACACGAGTGAAAATATGGGACCCACGTTCTAGATGGGACCCAAAATTCTAGACATTTGGCTCCCTTACCATTTTAAAAATTAAAGAAACATTAATAATTAATAATAAAGAGAAAAGGCCCATTAAAGGGTTAATTTTGATAAGGGCATCCAACTTTGAGCAAAGTTTCAGTTGAGTCACTCAACTTTAAAAAGAATCAAATCACTGAACTTCTTAATTATTTCAATTCAAATAACTCCACAAGTCTTTAATGCAAATTAGGGGGGAAATATGATTAGTATGGATAATCTTAGAACTATTTTTCAAATCAAACAATTTTAATTGGTTTGAAAAAAATTCCAAATCGAACTAAACTATTTTATTTTTCAAAAAAACTATTTTTTTTATGTTTGATTTGGTTTAAAATCATGGTCAATACAAGTTTAAACCAATAAATTAATAGAAATTTCAACTATAAAACTTACGCTTGCGATTTCATCTTTACATAAGAAAAGTATTATTATATATAAATTATTATTTTTCTTAAAGAATCAATATAAGTGTATATTTGGTTTGATTTCAAGCATATTTTAACTATCATAATCTAAATTGAAGAGTTGGTTCGATTTTGAAATGACCTAAATAACATGGGCTCAAACCAACGTTTCAAAATCACAACTTCAATTCGATTTGAGGGTCGAAGATTTATTTATTTTCACTCCAATTGCGAATGATGAGATATGTTGCATAGTCAAAATGTCAAATAGGACATGTGGACTCTGAAAATGCCTAAATGTGATAGGTTTAAAATTGTGTGAAAATTCATTTCAAACCTCTCAACTCATATTTCTGTTCATTTAGCCCTTGTTTGTGCTCCCTTAAAAATAAAATTTTGGGGAAAAATGTATTTTAAAATAGTAATTTTTCATAGAATGTGTAATTATAAAATAAGATTTTTTTTTTGAATTTACGTAATATTATTTTATCGGATAATGTATGGTTGGAAATAAAAGAGAAATTTGTACTTTGAAAATAATGGAACCCAAACAAGTGCTTATATTGAAATTATTTAACGAGTTCCAACAACTTTATCCATGTTAACTTCTCGCCAAATTCTAATATCCGCGTAAGCAAGTCCCATAAGTTTTAAGACCTGTCTGTTAAAAATTAAAATTCAGACTTTAGTTAAAGTTAAAGTTAAAGTCAATAATTAATTTTAACCACACATTTATAGTATTCACAACTTTTCAACTACATATTTTATCAATTTTTATCAAAATCTACTAAACATTTGATTTTAATTCCCATCTAACATGGATTAATAACAACAACTAATGGAGTTACTTGAACTGCAAAATTTATGAAGTTTTATGAGTTCATTGAGATGTTTTAGAGTTGAATGACATAATTGAAACTTTGCTCAAAGTTCAGCGACCTCCAATAAAATTAGCCCGCCATTAAATCCCCACTGAATCAAGAATCAAGCCCCCCTTTGGTCCCATTGCAATGGGTGAAATAATATTTTTTTTAATAAATGAGTGGTTGAAAAAAAAGAAAAAAATTATACGTATAATATTATTTTATAGAAGATTATGTGATTAGAAGGAAGAGTGAGGAAAATCAAATGTAATTTAGGCAAATGCGGCCAAACTCCTTGCCCAAATTCCAAGAAAAATATTTTGACATTTTGATAATAAAAATATAGTCCTTGTTTGAGCTATATTATTGGAATGAAAATACATTTTTGAATAATATATTGATGTGAAATGTATGGTTAAAATGATGTCAAATCACTGTTGAAAAATGTATTTATTTTTAAATAATGTGACTCAAATAAGGCCATATTTGACTCTCTCCAATGTTGTCTATATAACAACTACGAGTTTTAGGCCTCGTTTGTAACCAATTTTGAGAATTGATTTTTTGAGCATTAGGAGAAAAGTGAAAGCCACGTATAATAGAATAAGTCAAACTTTACCATTGAAATAATGAAATAGCGGTAAAAAAATCATTTTTTTTATTTTTTTTGGGATCCAAACGCCCCCTTCCTCTTTTTTTCTTTCTCGGTTTTTGATCTTTTCGTTCAGTTAGTGTAGACACAAAATCGTAGAATCAACCCTTCTTTGAACCGATTCTGCATAATTTATATATGGGTTTTTAGTGTATGTAATTTATTGTTAAATTATTGCGATTCCTTTCGGAGGCTGTGGTACATTCGAATAATCTAAAAGGGAATATGCTTTCGACGACAACTGTTTTTCAACATTCGTTATTTGGCGGTTTTATTTGTATGAGTGCTCTCTCACGTGGGCTGTCTTCAGATTTTTGAATTCATGAATATACTGCTTTCTTGAGCTGGATTTCATATATAGTACTGATCGTGCAATTATCAATTATATGAGTCCTTGTATATAATTGCGTCTTGATTTTATTGCTTCTTTACATCAGGCAAGAGAAAATTCTATTTTTCCTACCTGATTCTGTTGCCAATTTTAGGGCTATTGAATTTTTATCTCTGCTGCTTATCTTGTGATCTGGGGTGTCCTTGAAATCGAAAACAGAGCTAAAGAGGAGGGAAAAAAGGATCGGAATTTGGATTTTATGGTAGTGTAAATATATTGGAGGGTCGATTATATCAGATTATAAGAGGTGGCATATCAGCTAAAAAGTTCCATCTTTATGGGTTTTGGTAATGTATTGTTTTTGTGCTTTTAGGGTAATTTCAGGGTTCTGTTAGTTGGAAGGTGGCAAAGGTTTTTGAATTCTTTAAAGATGCAAGCTGTGGGGAAGCTAGGTAGTTACATCAGTAAAAGTGTAGTTACCGTCTCTGGGCCCTTTCACCCATTTGGCGGTGCTGTAGATATTGTTGTGGTGGAACAACCGGACGGAAGCTATAAATCATCACCTTGGTATGTTCGTTTTGGAAAGTTTCAGGGGGTGTTGAAGGCGAAAGAGAAGGTGGTTAACATTAGCGTGAATGGTGTTGAAGCAGATTTCCATATGTACTTGGATCATAAAGGAGAATCTTACTTTCTGATGGAGGTGGATGTAGAGGAACGGACGTCATCATTTTCTCCTCCATCCTCTTCAGGTGAGGATATAGACAGCCAATCGGGGAATAGGAGGCCAATGAAATCAAAATGTTACAATTATGATGCTGATTCTTCTGGTTCAATTTTGAATGGCAGAAATAGGAATACCATGGTTAGGACTAATTCTCGCCGGTCTCAGATTTTGGGCCTTGTTTTTGGGAGAAAATCAATGAAAGAATGTGGAATTCAGGAGGAAGTAGATTGTTCCGGTGTTGTGCGGATAAATTCTTTGGAACGTGCTGAGATTGCAGCTGATCTTTTGGAACTAAAGTGGTCTACTAATATTGCCTCTGCCAGGCGCTGTAAAGACAACTCTTCTCGGTTTTCTGCTCATGATAAATCAAAAGATAAAGTCAATAAGAATTTCCTTGATGCTTCTCTGAATAATGAAATTGGCATTGTTCATCATTCCAGCCATCGAAAACTGGAAAACACTGTCGAGGAAAATGATGGAGAAAATTCATGCTTAACTTCATTGTACGTCAGTGAAGCATCCACATCATTTGAAAATGTTAAAGAAGATGCTCAGGTAACAAATTCAGAAGCATCAACAATGACTGAGATATTGGATTTAGCTAAATCATTTTATCATGGGAATTCTGAGACTATCAAGTCCGAGATCACAATTCCTGATTCTACAAGTTCAAACTCTGCTGAGAAGCACAATGGTTCGTTAGACACCGGTTTTGCCAAGGAGGAGAATGGAAAGTATAGAACTCAATCTTTTTGTTGTAATGACACATGCGAGAGCTCAAAAGTAGGGTTGGATGGTTCCGCTGAAGAATCAAATGGCACTTTTTCTTGTGAAGGATGTGGGGAAGTCTGTATCAATGCTAATACTATGCATTTTACAACAGAGTTAACATCCACGGTAAAGTCTGGACAAGAAACTGATGTTTTATTTGACAAAGGACCTTTAAACCTTCAAGACTGTTTAGGTAATGAGGATCATTTCAGTTTCTTTCTTGATGAAAACAGTTCTGAGGCTGAAGGAAGTTCTTTGAACTCCACTTCAGAAAGCAATGCAACTAAATCCCATTATCAAGTAGTTTCTTTACATCCATCAAATGATTTCATTGAGGAAGTTGAGCCGCTTGGTGGTTTAATCATATCCAGTTTTAGCAACTCTGCTTGTCCACATAAAGAAAATAGGACTATTTGGAAAGAAGATGAAACAAACAAGTATGGATCATGTTCGGGACTTCAGGGCTGTCCTGAAATATCAACTAGTGATGGGGCCATTCCAATAATCCCAATGTCAGATATTTCAGTGGAAGAACAACTCCTTTTCGGTGATCTGGATGATTCCAATTTCAGCGAGGCCGGAGATATGGACACCATTTATCCAAATCATGAACAAAAATCTTATCATTCACTTTCACCAATGGTGTCCAATGGAGTGAATGAGTCTTTTCTGCCAGAATGCAGTGCCACTTTTTATCAAGATGAATCTTTTATAGATGACATTGCAAATGATGCTAAAGGATCAAGAAGTAAGTTGAGAACCATATCTCGCAATAGCATTCCCACAACGAGATCATTGCCTAATATGTTGCCTCTCAGTAATGATTTAGATGCTTGTGATCTTGACCATTCTTTTAACCAGTCATCACGTTCAGATATAAAATCGGGTAAAAATAATAATCTCAGATTACCTCGTGCACAATCAGTAGCTAAAGATATCAAAGTTCTGGAGGAGCTAAAAGACGGACCTGCAAATCTACCCTTTGGTAAGAAAATGCTTTTATTTATCAAATTTAATGCTGTTCGAAATACATAAATTTTTTGGGGTTGTGAAGCTGGTGAAGACTCTACTTGTTAGCTGTATTCAACTTTGTAAATGAAACACCTAGTGATGTTATTGCTTTTCATGATTTTATGTCCTCTTTTCCACTGTCATGGCTATGATTCTCCCTTAAAATTGCTATTCAACATTTATGTATTGGATCTGGATGCTTTCTAAAATTCTATATGCATCGGTAGGTGTTAAAAGCACCGTGTTCTGCATTGAGATACACCTGAAGAACTATATTCAGTTCAGTATAGCTAATTCAGATGTTTTGCATACTAGGGATCTCCTGCAGTGATATGTCAATTTAGAGAAATCACGATGTTATTGATACCTTGTTGAATGACTTGGTTTATGTTGAATGACTTGGTTTAAAACTTAAGCTGTTAGAGATGACCACGCGCATACGTACATATATACATGTGTGTGTGTGTGTGTGTATTAAATTTTTCTTTGACGCTTGCGGCATTTTTACTATTTGAATTTTTCTCATAAAGGACTTAAGTTACTTACTAGAATAAAGCAGGGCTTAATTCTTTAGTTCGTTTTCATTTTTCACCTAAACATACAAACTTTTAACTTTGATTTATATCATGATACAAATTCTTCATTAAGATATTTGAGTAGCAAGTAGATTTACAAAATAATTATGGATATACATTTCTAATATCAATGAATTAATTGATTTATTGTAGCCACTTTCATTTTTGAAATAGGACATGTTTTTGTCACTCTATTCGTATTAAATAATCGGAATCTCCTGAATCTCTTGGTCTCCCTAGCAACGTGCATTAGCTAATGGATATTGTTTGAACAATTGGATTTTCAAATTGGAAAAATGAAGTTGAATGTTGTACATCTTTTATAAACCTTCACTCTAAAGTTAATCACTTAATGATAGAAGGTTCGAAATTAATTCTTTGTTTTAAATGTACATGAATAAGCACTTTTTGATGGAAAATCAAGAAACTCTTTCTTCTTTAATCTTTCTGACTTAGAGCCTAGTTCAGTTGACAGTTGTTTCAAAACATATCATAGGATCCAGTCTCAGCCTTTTTTCTTAGTACTCTGAGTTCTATCATAGCCTTACCCTTGGCTACTCAAATGTCATTTACTTAATGAATGTATCAATCGATAATCGTATTGCACTCCATGTTCAGAAAAAAAGGTCCGTTTTGGAATTATTTTGCATCATTTCATAATTATAATTGAGTAAATCTCTTACTGAATGGAAAGTAACTTCTGGTTCTACTAGTATAGATGAAGTTGGCATTTGCCCTTTGATGCATTAGATTATTGGACATTGATTGCCTTTTATCATAATCCTCTAGGCTTTATCTAAATGGTAAGTTATTTGCAATTCAGTTTCTCATATGGTCTAGTCAAAAGGAGAAGAGGATACAGATTCAAGTTGGAAAAAAGACTCTTTAAGATTTTATGCCCGGTAGAAAATTTTAATAGAAATTGAAATTGATTTAATGACCAGGTCAAATATTCAAAAAGTTATACTTCAAAAATCCTAAATAATGCAAGGTTTATATAATCGAAATCTGTCTATGAGCACAATGAATGTAAAGAAACAAAGGACTTAAGTATACATATATTGCTATGACAATAAAGAAAACAAAGAAGATAAAAAATGTCACGTCTTAGATGTTCTTGGGCCTTTTTAAACATCGAATGCTAATATTTTAGATGGGTACCACTGATATAAAATATTATGCCTTGAAGAGACTGGAACCTCCGCGCTTTCTAGCATGAGATTTTGAGTCTCGTTTGTCTACCATTTCACCCCCAAATGTAAGTTCTTAAAGTGATTATGTACTTAAATTCTAATAGCAATCATAATGTGGGGAAGATGGCTTGTAGTACTTGGCTTTTGATGCTAAAATTTGGAAAAACTAGATCTGCTTGTCCAGTTTCCTGTTGCAGTAAAGAATGATTACTCTTGGTCAAAATGACAGTCAGTTTGAATTACTACGTTCTCATAAAACAAGGATGTATTTGTTTTGTGTTGGTGCAAATTTAAGCCATAGTAGAACTCTTGCAGGAAATGCACCTAGATCCACTGATTCCTTGAGCAGAAGCAGGGGAACTTGGTCCTTTTCTTTTAAGAGATCAAGAAGTGTGCAAGTTTCCCAGCCAGCTGTGGATGGCATAGGAATTTATAATGTTAAAAATATTCCGAGGACCACAGATGATATGGTGGGAGAAAATGATGTACCGAATCTGAAGGTAAATAAGAAGAAAATAAGGACGCTGACTCCAACGTCTGAACAACTGGCATCCTTGAATCTAAAAGAAGGGAGGAACATCGTGATATTTACCTTCTCAACTGCAATGCTGGGGAAGCAACAGGTCACTTCTAATTCACTTTTGTAATGGAAATTTCACTTCGAAGCTTGAGCATTTTTTTCCGTGACCCTCCTTTCTATTTATTCATCTAACATCTGTATTTTTACCTCTGATTATCTATGTCAGCTTATCTGCATACGTATTAATGCCCTTCAGTACTTATTTAAAGTTTGCATGTCCAGGTTGAAGCTCGACTTTATTTGTGGAGATGGGACACTAGAATTGTGATATCTGATGTTGATGGAACAATTACCCGGTATAGATTTCTTTCATTCTACTATCTTTTCTTCCCGGAGATTATTATGTCACCTCAAAATCAAATTATAGTAGTCATATATAGTATTTGTCTTATAGAATTTATAAGTTAATTTGGCTTTTGGATGACCTGATTCAACCATAGCAAATTCTTCAAACATTATACTGGGGAGGTGATTTTGAAGGAATTCTCGATTCTTTGTTGATATGATAATTCATTACCAGTTATTTATAGTTTAAAAGGTTCAATTTGTCATTGTAATGAGAAATGTGATGAATTACTTCTGACTTCATGGAAGCAGATATCACTGAGAATGTTTTGCTATGCAGAGAAATGTTGGATTTTATGCGCAATATTAAAGAGATGAAAACGAAAATCAACACATGAATTTTACATGGTTCGGCGACGTGCCTACCTCTACGAGAGCGAAGCGGAGATTTCTTTATTCAGTTGTTAAAAATAGGGTTACAATATATTATTTATACTAACTCTAGCCTGGACCCATATAAGACTTTAAGGCCCGTACAGAAAATACCCCTGTACAGTACCGCGGGGGCGTTGCCCCCACACCCCAACCCATTTAACGTCCCTAACAACCAGACAGTGAATTAAACCCGCACAAGGTCGATGCAGTCGCTCCGCTCCGTGCCGGCATCGGCCCATTTGATTCAGGACCTGTGTTCCACTCTATATGAGCCACATGCACAACAATCTCCACTTTGGAGATGAGATCAGTCTGCTGTTAGTGTAATATAGGACACAATATGTTAATAAATACAGTAGTTTGGTCATTATCTAAGGTGTGCCCTTGTGTCGATAGGAATTTATCAGGATCTAGCTGCAGACAACTTCTATGTTATTGTATACTATTTCAAGGCTAAACTAATGACCACTGGATCTGTTAATCTTGCTCAAAAGATGAGAGATGGAATTGACATTTGCTCAATTAAATCACTTGTTCAATCCACCCTCCCCTGTGATGAGAAAAGAAAGGGATCTGAATCTGAGGGTAGTAAATTGCTTTGCAAGATATCACAACTCTTCTATTTTTAAGTTTTGGTTATAAATTTTTTGGACTTTGTATCCAGTGTAAATTATCTGACTATGCCAGTGTAAAATCAAGGACGTAGCAACAGCATGTTGTTACATCTGTAAATTGGTTTGGATCCCATGAGACCTTGTCACCTTTTTAAGGTGTACAAGGAATTGGCTGATATTCAATATCTATTAACAATTGTTTTATACAGAAAATAAGTTCCGGTTCTTTCTTTATATAGAGGCTTAAAAATTTGTAGTCCAGAGTTCACAAATTTTCTTCACTAGTGAGCAGGATTTTCAATTATTGCTCTGTTGCCTGACATAGCTTGATTTTTTATTTTTTTGGCAAATGTCTTGGTTTTGAGAATATAGTGAAGTATAAATATTTGTGTAGGATAAAAGCTTTTTTAAATAAAGCTTATGTATGTATTGAAAATGAAATATACCATTCTACCTTGAACTTTAAAGATGGGAAAGAATTAAACCAAATAAATGTAAATTCTAAGGTTAGAACCATGATAATTAATAAATAGATCTTGAAGTAGATTCATGTGGAATTTGATTTTACTGTATTTTTGTGCTCCTCATCCTATATGACTGTAAGCTTCCTAAACTAGTTAGAAGCTTGTGAAATGTCTTAGAGCCAATAATATATGGAAAAAAGATATATGTGTGTTGCATTCCAATAATAGGAATGAAGAAAGGAAGAGAAGAATTTGGCAAGGTATGGTTAGAATTTGGGTTGTGGAAAAAGTACTTTACTATTAGAGTGAGCATTTTCTTGCTACAAAAGATTCTTGCTTGTATTAGAAGTTTCTTATTGAGAACAAGTTAGCCTTGACTTCAACATTGAATTTTATTGCACCAAAGAGTAGGTATGCGATGTAGGTGGAAGTGTAAACATGATCTATGGGATTACAAATGTATGTTTGAGCACGGATTAACTATTGGTAAGATAATTGAATAACAATCTTCAATATTTTTATGGATATTTAAGCCCCTGTTTGATAGCTATTATTTCGGAACTCTTTTTTCTACTTACTAATTTTCAACTATACATTCATACAATAAAATATTCTGCGCGTAAACCCAAAACTTTTCCAACCTTTTAACCTTACATGCTCCAAAAATGCCATTATTCAAAACTCCATTTTATGGTTGTCAAACAGGGGCTAAATTGTAGGAAAACAAGATGCTTGAATGTAATCTAAATATAAAGCCCTAATAACAACTTTAAGACCTAACTAACCTAACTATTGATGTAAGAAAAGAACCTAATTTTACTTAATAAATTAAACATAAAAAATAAAATAAAGTTGAATAAAAGTTGTGACCAAACGTGCATCCGACTCCATTTTTTCCCTGGATTAATGAAGATTTGTTCTTCGATTTGGTGCAATGTTCATATCTGACATCTCGGAACAACAAATACATTGGCAATAAAGCAACGAACCTCTTAGCCAATTTAGACACTCGAATTGATTTAAGCTACCCATTACATTATTGTGCATTGTACCATTTATATCTTTAGGCCCATCTAAATCAGCAACTTGAATATGTCGAATATCCATCCCTGTTCAATTGATGTTACTTTAGATCTCCTCCACTAGTTCATTAATTCAAGCATTAGACCCCTCGATCAAGCCAAACAACGAGTGGTCAACCTCAATTATAGACTCGTCACTATTTATCACAAATTCAACAATCTTAATGCTTGACTCATGCCTATGAAAGTACAACAATTTGATTATTGAATCCAAATACTGCATCACCAACATCAATTACAAACTCCAATCAAACAATATTTCTAAGTTTTGCCCCTTTATTTGCCTACTCCAATCAAATACTGCATTACCAACATCAATTACAAACTTTGGGTTCATTATGCTTCGTACTAAGATTCGGTCCGCTAACTTCACCACCATTCTGCTTCAAAGCAATATGGAGTGCACTATCTATTTCAAAAGTTTCATTGACAACCTAGTCCATTGATCGCGAACCTCTCATCTCCAAGTTGGTCTTTCTTTTATATCCAGTCTCCATATTTTGTAACCTTCCATTTGGCACTTCTCAGTCGACCTCCATGTCAAAAAAGAACGGAATTCTCACCCAAATCAGCCTCCCAATTGAATTAATAGGAGCAAAAAATCGGTGTTGGACTCCAACTCAACATCCGTGCAACAATATGAATAGTTGTGCTTTCACAATAGTTTCTTTGCCTGTCACATAATCGATGGCTGCACATATTTATTTATTTATTTATTTTTTTTTTTTTTTTGATTTTCAGTTTGCCTCAGTTACCAATTGTTAAATTTAAAACTATATTGCTAGATTTAGGCATGAACGTGATTAAAATAACATTTAATTTAATCAACACATTAAACAGTTCCTAACAAATACAAAGTTGGCTCTGATACCACTGTTGGGAATTGATTTAAACATGCACAGCGGAATTTAACAAACTTCAATT